AAAAATATTGACTTCTGTACTCCAGCAATTCTGTTTCCCTTTTTATGTGGGGAGTGCTGATTCATTTCAAGCTTATGTTGTGCATGATGTAAGGAAGGAAGGAATACAATTTTTACACATTGAGAGACTCCATTTTAAAATTATTTTTATGGAGATATCACCCACATAAGATTCACCCTTTTTTTTTTTTTTAGTGCCAGGGATCAAACTCGGGTCCTTGCACTTGCGCAGCAGGCCGCAAAACCACTGAGCTAAATCCCGGGCCCTAGAGTCACCCTTTTAATGTGTACAATTCCTGAGTTTTCAGTACATTCACTAAGGTGTGCAACCACCACTACAATTTCATTTTTTAAAAATTAATAATGTCACCTGCCTGGGATTTAGCTGACAGGCGCTGTGCCTGGCTTGCAAGCGCAAGGTCCTGAGTTCAATCCCCAGTGTCAGAAAAAATTTTTTTTATAATGTCACCAAATGGCTGTCCAGCTTTTCACAGCGCTTATTTTAAAAACTCCATCTTTCTGCCAGAGGGGAGTGAGGCCATCATCGTCACCCAACGTCTAGTGTCCCACCAGCTTGCATTTCTCTTTGTTCTGACCTGAGACCTTCTGGACTGCATCTTCAGTGAGATCGCGCTGTCGCGCTTTGAAGGAAGGAGAAAAATTTGACCTTGCTTCCTAGAGACAGAAGCCGGATTCCCCAGCGACTGTTGGTAAGCCATACGGGTATGATGAAAGGCAGCAGGAAGCTCTGCAGGAGAGAGGCAGAGTCAGCTTGGTCTGCCCTTCTTCCTGTGCACCCCCGGCCCAGGCAGGGACCGCCCCACCAAGAGGCACCTGCAGCTCGTGACTGAGGCAGCCAGAGACGTGGGAGGAGAGGCCCAGCGTGTCCAAGGCAGTGCGGGCAAACTCGTCGGCACTCTTCACCAGCAGCCCGGTTGACCTTTTGTTGATCATGTTTGTGGAGACAAATGAGGGGCTCACTGTCTGCAGGACAGGACGGAAGGGGTCCAAGAAACAATGCTCTCTGTTAATGTGCCTCTGTTAAGACCCACCCAGGTCTCCTGTCTAGCTGAGTGTCCAAGATCCCCAGACCTAGACCTGGCCCCCAGGTGTAGACCCCGCCCCTATGCTACATCCCAGCCTAGGGTGAGACCACAACCCCATGGATCCCCATTAAGCCACTGATCTCTAAGTCACCAGACTCTCTTCCTTCTCCTCCAGAGCTGCTACCCCAGCCACATCCCTTTGAGCCCTCCACCCGCCCCCAGTCGGGCACCTGGATGGTGACACCCTGAGGGGAGTACTCTGCGCCCACAGCCTCGGAGAAGCACTGCACGAAGGCCTGCAGAGGAAGGAGAGGAGGTCCCGGGAGTGAGGCCCGGAGGTCCCGGGAGTGAGGCCCTGATCCCCAGGCCAGGTACTGTTGTTCCCCTTGTCCCACCCCCATTCAGCGCTTTCCCATCATGAGCTCCTTCCCAGGACACAGGGAGAGGGAGGACTCTGGCTCAGCAGGGCGCCCCCCTGGAGTCTGAGGGTCCGGGTACCTTAGTGGCTGAGTATAAAGCATGAGACGGGAAGCCCCTTTGGCTGGCTATGGAGGACACGTTGACGATGACGCCTCTGCCTCTGCCGGAGGGAACCGCGTTAGAAGGTGGTCGCTGCCCAGGGGGATAAAGGGGCGGGGTGCTTGTCCCCACCCACCCTTAGCCCGAGCCCTAATCTGAAAGGCCTGGGGAGAGTGGGGACTGGGACCTGGCATGGTGGTGCATGCCCATAATCCCAGGAGCCCGGAGGCTGAGTCAGGAGGGTCACGAGTTGGAGGTCAGTTCAGGCTGACACACACACAAAAAGACTTGGAAGCGGGGCGGGGCTGGAGAAAGGGGAAAGCCTGGAGGCTGGGGGCATCGATGACAGAGCGGCTGAGGGGCTCTCACCTGCTGACCATCTGGGGCAGGACGATCCCGGTCATCTGCAGGCAGAGGAGGTGCCCATGTCCCCTGGCCTCCTCATCGAGGCGCTCTCACTGCCCCTCAGGGCCTGTCCCGGGCCCCCCGCCCCGCAGGATGGGACGCTCCGGGGTGGTCACAGCTGGGCTGCACCTGGACCCGGCCCTCCCCGCCCACTGACCTGAGCCGCCGACATCGTGTTGCAGTTGATAATATCCGAGATGCTCTGGGGACGGAAATGGAACCGGCCACTCCCTCGCTCCCCAGCCTCATCACACCAGCCGCATCTTCTCATTTCCTACCTTAATTTTTTTCTTATTTTAACAATTCACACATTTGGGGACAAATGGTTCCCACCAGAATTTAAAGCACACCGTCCTTTGACCATCAACTGCACTTGTAGCAACATGCGCCTTTCCAAGATTCTCACACACAAGATGCTCAAAGCTATTTGTTGCCAGGCCAGTGAGGTGCTTCGGGCCTGTGATCCCAGCGACTTGGTAGTCTGAGGCAGGAGGAGGATCACAAGTCTGAGGCCAGCCTGGGCAACAGAGTGGTTTTAGCGAAATCCTGTCTCAAATAAAAGGGGCTGGAGATGCCGCTCAGTGGTAGAGGGCCCCTGGGTTCAGTCTCCAGTACCAGGGGAAAAAAAGTAGAATGTACACACAGCAATGTGGATAAATCTTTAGTATAAACAAATGAACACATGCCAGGCATGGTTGTACATTCCTGTAATCCCAGCATTTGCGAGGCTGAGGCAGGAGGATCCCCTCGAGTTCAAGCCCAGCCTGGGCTACACAGTGAGACTCTGTCTCAAAACAACAACAAGAAGAAAAGATAAAACACTCAAAAAACCACAAATTAATCTTTAACCTCCACCCTTATGAAGACATGAAATCTTGACCGTGTGCTCAATATGTACCCCCTTGCCATCGGCACCAGGTGACCCCTATCCTGACTCTAACACTGGCAGAATCATTCAACAGGCCTGAACTTAGTCAGGTAAGTGGGATGCTGGAGTCCACATCCCTTCATCTTGGGCTTCCCGACTTAGCATTTGTGAGACTTGTCCCCCTGTGGTGAGAGAAGGTCATCTGTGTTCACTGCTAGAATCCTCCATTGTGGGAACTCAGCGCACTTCATCAGCCACTCATCCATGCATGGGCATCTAGGTCATATCTGTGTTGATACTGTAAGAAATAATTTACTAGGCACACTCGCCAGGCTGTTGGTGGACACTGCTCTCATGCACAATGCAAGGGAAAGGAAAGGATCACGTGGTAGGCAATTGCAGTAAGTGTGTGTGTGTGTGTGTTACTGGAGATTCAATCCAGGGCCTTCTCACTGAACTACATCCCCAGCTGTTTTGTTTAAGGGTATTTTTTTGTTTGGTACAGGGGATCAAACTCTGGTCCTTTCACTTGCAAGGCAGGCGGGGGAAACCACTGAACTAAATCCGCAGGGCCCCCAGCTCTTTTATATTTTTAAATTTAAAAAATTTGAAACAGGGTCTCACTATGTCACTAAGTTGCCCAGCCTGGGCTTCTAACTTTCAATCCTCCTGCCTCAGCCTCCCAGAGTGCTGGAATTACAGGCATGGGCCACCTTACCCACATAAAATTAAAAATTTTGGCCATCCATGGTGGTGCACATCTATTTTCCTAGCCCCCAGGATGCTGAAACAGGAGGATTACATAGAGTTCAAGACCAGCCTGCACTACCTAGCATGACCCTGTCTCAAAAAAAGAAAATTTAAAACTTTTATACATTAAAGGATACTACCAACAGAGAGAAAGGCAACCCCAAATGGTAGAAATTATTTGCAAATCATATATCTGATAAGGAAGGAATTTCTAGAATATATAAGGAACCCCTCTACCTCTCAAACATTGAATGAGTCATAGAAGAAATCACAGGGAAATTAGAAAACACTCCGAGAACCCCGAAAATAAAGTAGAATGAGTGCACCACAGAGGAGTACTTATGAGACCCAGAAACAGCCCTGCTAAGGGGGAAATGTATAGCTGCAAGTGCATTAGAGAAAGAGAAACGGTTAAAATCAACAGCTCTTCAACTAATGGAAATAGACACACTAAACCCAAAGCTAATGCAAGATCACAAGACTAAAACAGAAGCTAGCAAGATAACAGAGACAGGCCACAAAACCAAACAAAAAACGTGGTTCTTTGTCCAAAAAAAGAGACAAATTACAAAAATCAGAAATGAACTCCAGGGGTGATGGTGCACAGCTGTAATCACAGCACTTGGGAGGCTGAGACAGGAGGATCGCTGCAAGCTCAAGGCCAGCCTTTGGACTACACAGTGAGACCCTGTCTCAAAACCAAACCAAACCAAACCAAACCCAACCAAACCCTCCCTATGAGGAAAAACCCATGGACCAGACAGCTTCACTGCTGAACTGTACCAAGCATTTAAAGTAATAAGAATCCTTAAACTCTTCTAAAACCTTAAGAAAGAGGGAACAGGGCTGAGGATTTAGCTCAGTGGCTCCCTGCCTGCCTTGCAAGCACAATGTCCTGAGTTTGTTCCCCAGTACAAAAAAAAAAAAAGAAAAGTTGAACATTTCTTCCCTTATTCTATTTTTGCCGTGATACTGGAGCCAAAGACACTATAAGAAAACTACAGACCTATATCCTATATGAACAGTGATGCAAACATCCTAAAAAAAAAAAAAAAGTAGTAGCAAACCAAACTAACCAGCACATTGAAAGGATTATCCACTACTCCCAAGGGGGATTTAGTCCTGGAATGCAAAGATGGTTCAAAGTTCAAAACTCAATTTATGATACATATTACAAGAAAGAAGGGGAAAGACACGATCATCTCACGTGACCTGGAAAAAGCCTTTAGAAAATGTAACAGCCTTTCGTGATAAAAACATTCAGCAAACTAGAAATAGAAAGAAACTATTTCAACATAATTGAGCCCATGTATGAGAAGCTATTGCCTGGGTCATACTCGATGTTGATGGACTGAAGGCATCGGAAGCCCCAGCCTGAGAACTCATGCTCAAAAGGCACTGAAACTGGAAAAGAAGTGCAGTTATCTCTGTTCATAGATGCTAAGATCTTCTATGCAGAAAACCCTAAACACACACATAAAAATTTTTAGAACTAAAACAAGAATTCCCAAAATAGCAAAATACACAACCTACACAAGAAAGTTAGTGGCAGAACTCTTGGCCCTGGGCTCCACCCCCGGTGCCACAAAAGACAAACAGAGTCCGTGTGCTGCTGTACACCAGCCATGGATAGTCGGGAAAGGGAGCTAAGAAAACAATTTCATTTAAAATAGTGAAATAAAAAAGAAGGAAAGAAAGAAAAAGAAGAAGTTAGTCAAGGAGGTGAAAGACTTGCATGGGTAAAAAACTAGAAAACATTGCTAAAGGATATTAATGGAGACCAAAATAAATGTCAAGACAACCTAAGTTCTTGAGTTGGAAGTTTTCGTTTTGTTAACATGCCAGTTGTACCTCCACTGATCTACAATTCAGATGCTAGCAAAACTCAAAGGACCCAGAAGAGCCAGAATAAACTTAAAATAGAAGAATAAGATTGGAGAACTCAGTATTGTGGTTTCAAAATTTACTACAAAGCAGCCAGATGTGATGGCACACGCCTGTAATCCTGGCCTTCTGGGAGGCTGAGGCAGGAGGATTGCAGTTGAAGACTAGCCTGAGGACTTAGCGACTTAGAGACCCTGTCTCAAAATTTTAAAAATGACTGGGGATGAAGCTTAGAACAAAGGCATTGGGTTCAATCCCCCATAATAAACACACACACAAGAAAAGAAAAATAGAAAGAAAGAAAGGAATACTCGGAGCCCAATGTCATCAGCACCAATGGTGCTCACCTGAAGTGGACAAGAACAGAGTCTGGAATTAACAGCTGCAGATGATTTTTGATAAGGGCACCAGGATCACTCACTGGGGAGGGGACAGTCTTTTCAATCAGTGGTGCTGGGGAAGCTGGATATTCACATGAAAAAGAATGACATTGCCGGGGATTTAGCTCAGTGGTTCCCCCACCTGCCTTGGAAGTGCAAGGTCCCAAGTTTGATCCCCGGTACCAAAAAAGAAAACAACAAAGAAAAAGAATGACGTTGTGCCCTTGATCAAGAATACCCCAAAGCTGGGCATGGTGGTGCACACCTGTGATCCCAGCACTCTCAGGGCTGAGGCAGGAGGAT